AGTATGCGAGCCCCGCATTTTTAGTTCCGAAACCTCAGGGCGGGTACAGAATGGTTATCGATTACCGGCTTCTCAATAAGAAAGTAGTTTTCGATGCTTTCCCAATGCCCAGTGTGGAGCATGCTTTTGCTAACTTCCAAGGGGCGAAGGTTTTTTCGGTGTTGGATCTCAACTCCGCATACTACCAGATCCCACTGTCCGCTAAGAGCCGGAAGCTCACTGCTTTTTGTACACCCTTCGGTCTCTTTGAGTTTACAAAGTTACCGATGGCAATCAGCGTGGGGTGCCAAGTGCTCTCGCGCGTTGTTGATTCCTTATTCGGCAACTTGAAACACGCTTATGTGTATAATTTCATGGACGATCTGGTAGTATACTCCCGCTCCTTGGAAGAACACTTAGATCATTTGAGGGAAGTATTTCGGAGTCTCGAGAAGGCTGGGTTTACCTTAAACAGGGATAAGGTAGCGTTGGCTCAGTCCGAGATAAAGTTTTTGGGCCACTCGTTATCTTCTGAGGGGATCAGAATTTTGCCTGAGAGGGTTGAGGCGATCTCCCAGTTCCCCCCTCCGAAGAATTTGAAGGCGGTGCGCCATTTTCTCGGGATGGTGGGTTTTTACGCGAATTTTGTTAAAGACTTTTCGCAGTTGGCAGAGCCGCTTCACGCGTTAACGCAGAAGAACGCGGCATTCGTGTGGGATGGACCTCAGAGGCAGGCATTTGAGCGACTTAAGTCATCCATCACCACGCCCCCCGTACTGCAAGTTCCCGATTTCGCAAAGGAGTTTGTGCTAGTATGCGATGCTAGCGAGGTGGCCGTCTCGGCCGTTCTTAACCAACGGCGCGAGGAGGGGCTAGCTCCTATAGCCTTCGCTAGCCGGCTGCTCACCGGTGCAGAACGCAAATACTCCGTTCACGAAAAGGAATGTCTTGCAGTGGTCTGGGGATGCGAAAGATTTCGCGTGTATCTGGAACATAAGGAGTTCACCCTCCATACTGATAACCAGGCATTGTCCTGGCTATTAAAGCATGTAAAAGAACTTGGCCGGATAGGCAGGTGGATTTTGAGACTTGCCCCCTATAAATTTAAAACTGTGCATATCTCGGGCAAGAGCAACGTGGTGGCGGATTGTTTGACCCGGCAATTTGAAGACACCCCGGAGCAATTGTTCTCCGGGTTGGTTCTTCAGCATTTGCCGGCCGCCTTTCAATCGATAAGGTAGCACCAGATTAAGGATGAGTTCTGCCGGGATGTATATGATAAGGTCCAGAGACAAGATCCGGCGATTCGTAACTTCAGGCTGCTGAACAACACGATTGTGTATGTATCCCCGCGAAACAAATCTAAGGCTTATTTAGTTCCTCTAAATTTGCGGCCGATGCTCTTGGAGTATTTTCACGATTCGGCTTTAAGCGCCCACTTAGGAGTGACAAAAACCCTTCGGCGGATTTGCAAGGTTTTCTATTGGCCGAAGATCCGGTCTGACATGACGAAGTACGTTAGGACGTGTGACGTTTGTCAGCGAGCTAAGCCGGCTCAAAATACATGGGTCGGCCTCCATAATAGTCATGTCACGAAATCCATGGAGCGAACCTTTATAGATTTCGTTGGTCCACTTGTCCGGAGCCGTCAGGGCAACATGGCTATCTTGGTTGTCCTGGACGACTTTTCCAAATTTGTGGCCATGTACCCCGTGAGAAAGATCACATCTAACGTAGTGGTGGCTTGTTTAGTGGGGAAATATTTCGCTTGTTTTGGGATTCCTAACTGTATTGTTTCGGACAATGCCGCGGTTTTTCGCTCCCGATTGTTTTACAATACCTGCTTTTCCTGGGGGATAAAACATGTCACTATTTCACCTTATTACCCCCAGGCTTCGCAGGTAGAACGCTTTAATCGTAATCTGAAGGCAGCCCTGACTATCTTCCATCACTCCCAACATACCCGCTGGGATGAAAATTTACCGACTCTCGCTGTGGCGTTTAATACCGCCTGGCACGAGAGTATGGGTGCTACCCCAGCCCCAGTAAAACTATCCTTATAACAGGCCGTGAAGGCCCATAGGGATGTGAGATGTTGAGGGTCCCGCATTATCTAGACAGTCGGCTCAAAGATGGCGGTAAGATTGTCAGCCTTACACGCCGACTGCACTTTACTCCCCAGGAAAATTATTTAATTAATTCCTGATACTCATTTCTGTTAGAGGCTGAGTCGACCCCAGGGCCATAGTGCAGCTGGAAGGATTAGGTCAATTGAAAAAATCCAATGACCTCATCAGGAATTGAACCCGCGACCTTCCAGCTTGTAGCATAGTGACTCAACCATTGTATTAAATGTTAAATAAACATTACTGAGTTTATAAGTGCATGTATTTATAGCCATGAACATGCAAGTATTTTTTTTAGTCTTGTTCATATTGTCTATATTTTAATGCAAGTTGTGGGGGTGAAGAAAGGCCGTTATAACCTATTTATTTCTGAACTCTGTTGTGATAAAAACTGATCAATTTAACATTGTTTCACATAATGTCACAGTTTACAAGAACATAATGACAACATTAAATGAGTATATATACATAATGTTGTATTTTAGCGTCCTGTTGCACTGATTTTCATCCATGATACATACGTAATGGCCGTCTTGTAGTGCACTCAATTTCATATGTTGCTTCTTACTACATGTTTCGGCAACATAGTGCCATCTTCAGGTTCGTTATTTACGCTAAGCTATTACATTGTTTGCCATCTTGTGTATTCCATAAAATTATTTAGATAGTACATTATTCGTCAACTATGTATACTAAAACTTGTTAAGATTATTCATCTATATGTCTAAATTCAAAGTCATGTATAGTATGGTTCGTCCACTATGGGAGTCGTTTCTATGTGTACTGTGTCTGTGATATGTCCTTCCTTTTTGGCTCCGAGTACATATACACCAAAGGCAATCTTTATAATGTGGAGACCTGCCATGCCCATGTTAGTCAGCCCATACACATTACTTTCACAGTTCTTGTAATCATGTTATGCTGATTTCTCTTCTATTTGTAGTTACATTACAAAGCCAAATAGCCATAACCTAATCCTCTTTTTTGAAAACATCTTCCTCCTTTCTTATTACTATTATTCAAGCAGATTCGGCACATCATTTTCTTGTCACAAATATTATTAGTCAGGGAATATCCCCTAAATTTCACCCAAATTAAGGAAAGAGAATATGAGGTCTGACAAATAACAAGACTGCACTCACAGGCAGCACTATATTAAATTTTATTCTTAACTGTAGTGGTCTCATTTAGAGTACTTCCATTCTGCAGCTATACATGGATTTCAGCATTGTTTCAGCTGTCAGGGGAGTGGATATATAAATCCACATTTTCTTAACCTCAGCACTAGATGGAGATGAGTGGTCGGCTTCACATCCCTCCCGCTTTACCCCTGTGGAGATAGCCCCCAGTACCCATTAGATAGGTTGAAGGGGCCCCAGAGCCCCAGACAACGCGGAGAAGAGGAAATTCTATACCCTACCAGAACTCGAACTCTGAACCTTCAGTCATCCAGCCCATAGTGAGTCGCTATACAGACTGCTATCCTGGCTCCATGCTTTTTTCCCAGGTGTGTACAAAAATTTATTTTTGTTCTTTATTCAAAGTAGTTGCCACACATTTCTGTGACATATCCAAATAATACTTCAGCTAGAACAAACACCTCAGCACTCCCTAGACTTGTGTTAAGTTCAGACATATATGCAGCACCCACCATCAACCACAGATTGACTCACACTCCATAGGGTTGCCAGTCTCATTGTGTGATTGTCAGATTTTTTAAATTCTTGTTGTGCTTGCATGAGTGTTTATGTCTGTGATTTTTGTCTTTACTTCTGACAGCTTTATTATATGCTCTACTGTCAGAGGAAAAAAATAATTAGCTATCGTGTATTACGTGTATCGTGTGTTTTACAATTTGTACATCCACACAATATTTCATTCCTGTGAATGTAAATATTGTGACATTACATCTAAGATCCATAAACTTCAGAATTTTGTAATCTCAGGAATGTCACAGAATAAATCATTCATTTACTAGGTAACAGAAACATAAATCCCACAGCCACAACAGATGAGGTGCTGGTGAAATCAGCATTGCCTCGATGGCCCATAAAATTATGATATAACGAAGCATGCAAGTGAATCAGTGTTCTCATTGTCTGAGCTATTTCTTAGGCACAGAGTCTGTGATGAGGGAACCTGCAACCTAGCAGTGGCCTGTAATGACAGAGTATCCTATGAACAAAACGATTATTTCTAACAGACTGTGAATGATTGTGATTATTTATATTTAGTATCAATTAAAACCCATTTCCTTTCTGGATCCATTGTGTACTCACTGTCACAGATATGGCAATTTTTACCTTTAAAAATTAAATTTATATCGAATTCATTAACATCTTGCATTTATATTTGGTTGCATAATTGTTCCAAATAAATAGTATGCTTTGCATGTTCTGTCCCTAACACAGTATGCTTTTCAGAAAGAGTGGAATCACTGTTTCATCCACACCAATGAATGGGTTAATTGTGTATAAATTGAGAGTAAGTCCACTAGAATATTAGAGTTTTATTTTTGCCAGCATATGATTTAAGATTATGATCTTTTGAGATGTGACTCCATGTAGCTTGGTAGACACTAGTGTTTCGGAATAATTGCTGCCTCCATGTTCACAACCTCCTTTTCTTCCATCTTATTCTAGCCTTCTCCTTAGTGGAGGCAGTGAGTGATGGTGAGGGTGCCATCTTCACTACCACAAGTTCAGGCATGGGTGTGTGCAATATTCCAACCCAAGCAAACACTGAAGATCAAGGCAGCAGAGCCCTCCAAGATTCTGGTACCTCCACCAGGCTACACAGTAATGCATTCCAGAAGAGCATAATCATAATGAACCCCAAATTTCAGCATTTGATTTGTATAAAATGCTGCTGCTGCATAGAGACTGTGGAACTTACTTGCAAAGTTGGGACTGATATCAATGAAGCTTGCAAGCGGTCCTGTAGATACAGCTCCACTCACTGCAGTTGCTACAGTTGAGAACACAATGGCTGCAGTGGCATTACAGCCTGAGAAGGAAAGTCCAAGTGTGAACAAACCTTGGCCTATGGTACCTGTAAGAATATTATATCATGAAGTAAGGAAATCTGAGATTCTGGGAGTGCGCATTTGTCCCCAGCATGGCCCATGTTAGAGTTGCAACATTGAGATCACACACTTTGTGGATGCAACACTTTGGGTCATTCCATGTGACAGTGGAAAATACGTTTCTGGTATCACTGCCAAAGAGTCAACGTTCATAATACCAAGACCACCACTGGGCATGATGCAAAGCTCATTAAATCTACCTCCCATCCTCAGTATTTCTCTGGGATGTATGAGAGTAGAACTTGAAAGTTCAACATTGCTAATATCAAAGTCTGGAACTGAACATGCATGCCTCCCATTCTCACTACCAATTTCCATAAGATCTGTCTAATTAACTAGGCATGTATGAGAATTACTTTTCATTTTGAGACAATAATTTTAAAACACTCTGAAATCAAGATTTTTCTCTACTGTGACAATTTCTTCATTCCAGTTTCAATTTACAAGACTAGCCTTTCTGCCACAATTACCTGAAATGTAGTACTTATAACTTTTAACACCAGATGTTGATTATATATGCAGAAATGAAGAAATATGCATTGTGGGAGAAAAGAGTGTGAGAACTAGATTTTATGACAAGTTCATTCATGCCAGTACTGCCAACCATTATGATTGTGATCATCCAAGTAATTATTATGCTGCTGCAAAACAGATTAAGCAGGTCTATGAAAATGATTGAAGCCTGATACTGGGAAATCTATGTTTGAATCTGGATCAAGGTGTTTTTACTATAGGATTCTGACGATGGTGTATAACACACTGATATATTGGTTTTTTGGACTTTATCCATCGTCCTGGTTTTTAAGATAACTAATAAAAACACGACGTTTCGGAAACTGGATCTGCTTCCGTCCTCAGGTGAAGGAAAACACCTATTCTGTTGGGTCCGTTAGAAAGAACTAGCCTCAATCACTGGACGGTGTTTTCCTTCACCTGAGGACGGAAGCAGATCCAGTTTCTGAAACGTCGTGTTTTTATTAGTTATCTTAAAAACCAGGACGATGGATAAAGTCCAAAAAACCAATATATCAAGGTGTTTTTAATTTAATGAATCTTGAAAATATGAGACTCATGTATGCCTATAATTAATCTCTGATAGCAGAACTTTAAGACTGAACACCAATAATACCAGACATTTTAGCTTTGAGCTAGCTGCATTCACTGCCCATCCTCAGTACCTTTCCTGAAAAATGTAACTGTCTTATAAATTTAATAACCTAATTTTCTTGCAGCAGAACCTGAAGATTTTACATCGCTATTACCAAAGCCTATTAAGCCACAAGCTGGAAGGTCGCAGGTTCAAGTCCGATGAGGTCATCGAATTTTTTTAAATTGACCTAATCCATCAAGCTGCACTATGGCCCTGGAGCTGACTCAGCCTCTAACAGAAATGAATACCAGGAATTAATTAAATAATTTTCCTGGGGAGTAAAGTGCGCCTGGCGCATAAGGGTAACAACCTTACCGCCATCTTTGAGCCGATTGTCTAGATAATGTGGGACCCTCAACGTCTCACAACCCTATGGGCCTCCACGGTCTGTTACAGGGATAACTTTACTTTTTACTCCTACTTTTTATTGTTGGTTATAAAACTAAGTCAGTTCCATCAACCTCCCATTCCATTTCCCTAAGATCCATCTTACAAATTGCCACACTTTCCAGGTAGCAGATCCAAAATGTTCAGTACCGACCACTGTACAGAGGACCAAGTTACTTTCTTCCATCCCACATCCTCTCAACCAACTTCCATAAAATAAATTTTAAAATTGTTCCTCTTTTCTCAGTTTTCAAAGTGAATTTAAATTTCTTTTCTCAAAGACTATGGCCAATATTAAATGATCACATTTCTCATTATTAAGCAGCTACTATCATTTCCCTCTTAACTGCATCAACAGGCATTGTCGTTACATACATGCTGCAGCAGCCATCTTTCGAACGTTTGTCCGTGACATGAAATCCTTCCTCAGCAGGTAGTCACCAAGAAAGGACATTAAAACTGCAAAGCATACTCGAGTCAAATGAGGAATCCCTGAGAGAAAACCTGTCTGAAACATAAGATCAAATGGAAGGACCAGTAAATTTAAAGTTTCTTGATGTTATATAGCTCACATGAGACCTCAGATCAGCAATTCCTCAGTGGAATCATTGACTGTTCTCTTTACATACCCTGAGAAAACTCTGTACCTAAATGTTCTCTTATATATTCATTGAATTTGGAACATTCACATCAAAATATTACATAAAATTTAATGTGCCAATACCAAATATTTCCCTTTAGCTACTGAATTAAATTTTACTCTCAGTGTTTGATAAAGATCAAAGCAAATTCTTTTTAATGTTACCCCACAGCTACAGATCATAAAATAAGTACATGTTACAATTTCAGAATAAATAAATGTGATCTTAATATTTTGGGGAAAATATAATTTCTGGAAGAAAAAAAACAGTTCCTAAGGACATTAGTCATTAATTGACAGGAACATGTCATTTGAATATAACAGAGTTCTAAAATAAATAATACAATGTATAAATAGCCACCAATGTATGGAACTCCTGAAATGATAAAGCGACAAAGGAAAAAAAAAATTGATATTACAGAGCACTTGTAGTTTGCATTCTACTCTCTGAAAATAAAGTACAGCTTTGCAATGAAGTGAAACAGAGACTCTCATCTTCTGGAATGTGACACCATGAAGGTTTGTAGGCGGTTACCAGCATTTCAGAGGAACTCCATATTCTGCCCTGAAGATGGAGGCAGCAGGCTCGATTTATATGTTAATAATCACATATGAAAATATATGGTGTTATTACTCACAAGGTCATGATCTTATATGAGAATTTATCTAGAGACAATAGAAGGTTGAAATCAGCTGAATTGAAATTGTTAAGCAACTCAAAGGATAAACTTGTTTCAGTAGTATGAAGAGTAATAATATTAGAGGAGACCTGTGTTTATTTGCTGTAGGAGAGAAAACAAATTCACAGACAGAAATGAACACAACACCTTGATCATGTATTGTCAACTTAGATAGGGTTTTGTTTGCCTACAGAACACATTATTGTCTCTCTGAACTAAATCTTTCACTAGTGTTGAAGAATTTGAAATGTTTAGATTGTGTTCAGATATCATATTATATTTCAGCACCCAAGCACTTGATGCATCACTCATCCACTTGTTTCTATCTCTAATGAAATATAAACTTTTATTTTAAAATCTCATTACAGTATAGGGGATAACACGCCCTACTAGGGAGAGCTACAGACAAAAGGAACACAGCATGGATGCCACAATATGAAAGTAGCGAGAGTGAAGTGTGGGAGCATACATTCTCAAACAATGACGACGTGCAGTAGTAGCATGTAATATATTGACATACAAGCTGACACAGCGCAGCGGTTTCAAATGATAACACTTGCCTGAGGATGGCACAGTAGGACTAAAACATATCACAACAGTAAAATAAAATGTAATTTAGTGACATTTTGTGAAATTTAAATGTGATCGGAATGATATTTGAAAATAAAAGTTTATGTTGCATTAGAGACGGAAACAAGCGAACGAGTGGTTCAGATATCATACTCATTGAGGGGACTGGATGTGAATAATGGTGAATTTCTTTTTCTATGAGAATTGTATATTGTTCTTTAGATGTATTTTGTAATAGAGACTGTGCCAAAACAATTTTATGGAAAATGTCTTGACTTCTAAACAAAAGGTACAGAGTTGTTTATAATGTGATTACTTTAATTGCATCTTTCATTAGTAGATTTATATGATGCCCACTATAAAATGTAAGAGTTTCCTAGTTGACTTTCATTTAAAAGAATGTGACAATCTGATGTAGATGAAATGGCAGAAGAAATGTACCAAAATCAGCTTTCACTTTCAGCCAGGCAACAAGGAAGGAAACATGTCACAAATATTTAAATGATGCCAAAACTGACTTGTAGTCTATTCAAGGAAGGCAAATGAAGATTGTGTTGCTCACCATTGTGATATCCCAGCCATGAATATATTTGAAGTATGTTGGAGCCTGGGTCATCAAAGTGAACAGCCCCCATATATTTCCCCATTGTGCCAGAATGTTCATCCACACAGGTCTTGACAGTAACACTTCTTTCCAAGGAGTTGGTAACTTGAAGAAATAAATGATATTACTATCTCAAATACATGTCATCAAATGACAGATATTTTTATATCACCAGGTAAACCTATCCCTGTAGCAGGTTGCGAAGGCCCATAGAGTTGTGAGACACTGAGTTTCCCACATTTTCTAGACACTCATCTCACAGGTGGTGGTAAGGTTGTCAGCCTCATGCACTGGCCGCCCTATACCTCCAGGGAGATTCCTGGTACTCATTTCTCTTAGCGGCTGAGTCAACCGCAGGGCCATAATGGGGCTGGAAGGATTAGGTAAATTGAAAAAAATCCAAAGATCTCATCAGGAATCAAATCCATGATATTCGGCTTGTAGCATAGTGCCTCAATCAACTATGCTACCACGTGCCCCATCTGAATACAGAATGCTAGTAAAATTCCTACCAATTTAATGTTATGTGATGATGATGATGATGATGATGATGATGATTGTGATTACTCATATGATGTCATTTGAATTAAATCTTATTATACGATTTTTTTATCTTGGTTATGACACTGTGTAATCTCCAGTTTTATTCTGTCTTCAGTTTAGAAGTAAACAAAGACAGAGGTTTTGTACAAGACGTTGGTAACTCCTTAATGGCCTGTGCTATCAATGCATATATAGTACCATAGCCCATACAAATCTCATCTAAATTTGACTGTGTTCATTGATATTATAAGAAAAAGAATCTCTTCCCTTTCAGTTTAGCAGATAGTAAGAAACCTTACTCATCAAAGATGAGTAAGGTTGGAAATTATTTCCTCAGAGTAAGCCAGGAAACCCACAGTGTAAAGTTGTTTTTTTACAGTTTGGAAAAGTGTGGTTTGATTGTGAGAAGGGACGAGATTTTTTCTTCACTGTCATGGCCAGACCAACTCTGGCATTTCAGTCCACATAAATAATAGGAGTTCTTTACCACTGGTAATTTCACTGGAGAAAAAAGGTGACCAGTTACATTCATTAATGCTGAGGTTCAGAATACGTTTAAATTTATGTCTTCTCCCTCTTTGCTTTGAACATGAGGTGCTTGTACATCAGGAGAAATTATCTCCCCTAACAAGTGCAAGGGAGGGAAAGGTAGATCAAAATTACTGCATTCTCACACTCACATTCTTCTCAGCAACTGTCTCCCCAAGTTTACTGAGGATGTAAGTTTTTTCTTTCTCAGAGATGTGCGGATGTTCGGCAGGGCTATCATACACCAAGAGCCACCAGGTGATGAACCATATCACACCAACTACACCAGTTACATAGTAAATTGATGGCCAGTCAAACCATTTGATAAGAAAACCGCAAAGAGGATAGGTAATTGCAGCCCCTACAGAACTACCTGAAAATAATGAAATGATTACATTGTGTGATTCAAGACAATTCTTCAACTCCATATATTTCAGGGTGGAAAATGGTCATATGATTGTGAATAAGGAAATGAAAAGGATGTGGAAAGACCTGGTCATGATCTGTTCTAACTCTCTGACTGCCTCCAGCTACTATATGCCAGAAATGCCAAGGTTGCTCAGTGATGGTGCTGCACATAAAATCCAGAATCCTTCCAAAAGTTTACCTTAAATCAGGCATAGATATAGCCAGCATGAAACCTTGCCTGTAAACATTGGTGTCAGACACCTAGTGCTATCTATTGACAAAAATTCTCTACTAAGTGATTAATATTGGCCATTCTCTATGGCTCTTGAAATTTTCATACACATATTCCAATCCAGTTTAATTGGCTTCTGGCATGCAAATGTTCAAGATGCTATCACAGGATTTACTTGGAGTAGCAGAGGATGATCATGAAATAATTCATTAAGTTCATGGCCTTCTGGGATGACACCATCATATAGTCAGGTACACAAGTTCAGAGTTTTCAAAGCAACCCATTGCCCTGAAGACGGAGGCAGAATAAACCACCTGATGTTACTGCTGGGAGAACCTCAAGTCTCATAAAACGACTTAGTGTCCTGACAGAGATTCAGATTCATTGCCTCTTTAATGCAAAGTGGGTGTGCCAACCACTTCACTCTGACATCCACCAGGTGTGATTACAGATAACATATAGTCTATAAATAAAATTTATCTTATTATAAGACCTTACAGTAGCACTTGGATGACCCATTTGCATTTTACTGAAATGTCAAGCTTTATCACTATCATACTCATATTCAGCCAGCAGCTGTATATGATGAGAACAGTCACTACATTGAAGAACTGATTTTGGAAAACGGGGAAAATACAATGCATGATATTGCAGCCCACACTGGCATACATAAAGCAAGCATTATCCACAAATAATTGTTTTCCAAGAAAGTGTGCACTCAGTGGGTGAGTGAGAATTTGTTGATTCTGGCATGTGTATTCTTTTTGTAAAAACTGTCGAGCTCCAACTTAAACCTCTCTCATATATTTTTGATGTATCTTCATAGAAAAATCACATTTCCTGTTGTTCATTCAGTGGCACTCCCACCACATAAGTTCATATAGATATTATGCTGGTATTACTGACAGTAGCAAATTAAGAATACAAAGGTATAATAACCTGTAGAGGCATGATATCCATACAAAATTTCTGTTGGTTCAAACGCTGTTAGAGGAGGACAAATACAGATGACACCTGAAGTATGCATAAAATATAGAAAAGATGCAAAAAACTGAAGATCAACTATTTGTTTAGCATACCCATGTAAGCTGTGACAAATTTACTGCGTTCATTAGGTGGAATCCAGTTTGCTGCCAAGTGATGCATTGCTGGCCATGTTGTTCCCTGTGATAACAAGAAACATTGTGTTTTATATGGTGTGTAGTTATTAATTTACACCAAAAATATATAATGATGCATGACTTCCTTCCAACTGTCATTTTATTTCCTAATATGCAATATAACTCCTTTAGACCTGTTCAATTTAGAGATTACTTCTGAAAATATGAATCTTTTAGAAATTAGTGGTGTCCCTTCCACTGGGAATCAGCCCATTGCAAGACAGGACCACATGAACACAGAGGGATCATGGGTATACTCCATGCCCCAGTGGGATTCAATCCCACGGTCTCAGCTATAGTTTGAGCAACTGAAGGAAGAATGTGCCTTAGTGCATTCATTGTGATCAGCTGTACATCAGTATACACAAACAAGACTATTCATCTTAAAATATAGTTAGAATGATCAAGTCAAGGAGGATGAGATGGGCAGGGCATGTAGCAAGAATGGGGAGAAAAGAAATGCATATAGGATTTTAATGGGAACGCCAGAAGGAAAGAGACCACTAGGAAGAGGTAGAAGGTAGGATAATATTAAAATGGACCTTGGGGAGACAGGTTGGCATAGTATGTACTGGATTGATCTGAGTGAGGATAGGGACCAGAGCAGAGCTCTTGTGAACACTGTAATGAACATTCAGGTTTCATAAAATGTTGACAAATTCGTGAGTAGCTGCACAACTGGTGGCTTCTCAAGAAAGGTTCATCTTCATGTAGTTAGTCAGTCAATCAGTCAGTGTGGTGGTTTACCACACTGCATAGAACATAGCCACCACCATGAGAACCTCAGTTCTCACATTCTACCAATTAAATTACTAACATTCTAAGGAAGTAGGCTGAAATGTAGTAACTAAGATTATGGTGTTCTGAGACATGACACTGTGTATTCTGGTCAATAGGTGCCAACGTTATGGAGGAACATACTACATCATCTTGTATTCACAAGATAGATGCAGCATGTTCCTGTTAAACTTCGGTACCTACCTCATAATTTTATTGTTCGATGTCATGAGAACCTCTAATTTTGAGCCAGCATATGGCTGTTTTTGTCACTTTTTCCTGTGTCCTGAAATGTGAAAGATATCTGCAAAAAAGTAAAAGATCTGTTTCAGAAAATATACTTACAGCAATGAAGCCTTGAAGTGCTCTGAGGAAAACAAGAGCACGATAATCTGCTCTTGCAAATAGTGGAATGAAGAAAGAAAGCAAGCATGGAATGCCATTTGTAAGTCCAAATACGAGCTTGGTACCATAACGTTGTGCCAGCAAGCCACCAGGCACTTGTGTAGTCCAGAAGAGCCAGAAGAAACTGCCAAGAATTAACCCTTGCTGCTTCTCATCCCAGTCAAATCTCAACTGCAAAAAAAACATACATTAACCTTAACATCATTATATCAACTGTCACTGTTTCAGGGTTAGTACTGCAGCTCCTTGTTTGGGAGGGCTCCGAGATTTTGTCTGGAATGCCAGCTATCGTTGAGCTTTTATGTGTATTTCTCCAGTTGTCCTCTGCTTGAAGTCATTACCAGACAATGGCAGTGAAGACATGGTGGTGAGCACTAGATAGAGAGAGAAACTCTGTTTGTTTGTGTGTATATGTGTTTGTTTGTTTATTTGTTTGTTCCTTCTTTGATGTGTTTGTTTGTGTGTGTCTGTGTCAGAGAATCCAGTAAATCCGTCAACAAAAAGTAGTCCAGATCACAAATCGCTACTGTCGTGGGTGCTGGGAGCAAGAGAATTGCTTTGCCCAGCCTGTGCACTCCATTTATAACATCTGCAATTTTTGGGATACTGCTAAGCTGAGGAAGACCGAGGTTGCCTATGTACTTGCTAGCAATTGCTTGAAGGAATGTAGTGCCACATTTTTGCAGTTGTTCAGTTTAATTCAGAGCAGTCCAGAGAAAACAAGTGAGGAATGAGTGAGGCTGTGTGCAGGTAGTCAGTGATTCCAATCAGTGAGTCAGCAAGTTAGTTAATGGGTTAGTTTTCAGTTCAGTTCAGTGCAATGCAGAGAGGCCGTTAGAAGAGGTGAGTGCAGTAAGTAAGCATTAGTGTTGCTGTGAAATAACGATTGAGAAAAAAAAGTGTGCAATCAGTTAAACTTAGGGATATATCAAATTCATAATGCAATCAATTTATAACAGTTTAATTTTATTTTAAGCTCCGCTAGCAGAAGCACACACCACTAGTAGAAGCGAACGCCCAGTCATATTTTCTTGGCCAGCCCTCATTGCGGTTCTCATTTCTTCCTGGCTGGCCCTCACTTCATCTGTCATGGTATTTGTGACTTTGATATTGATCATTGTCTTTTGTTTATTGACATGCATTTCCTGTCTGGTGGCTATCAAACTTTCCATGTTCACAATAATTAGCTGCCTCCAACAATTCCCCTATTATGTTTGATTTATTTGTTGCAAAAACATGTTGGCCAAGCCGTTATCTAGGCATGAACATCTCCGTGGTGTTTCTCTGACTCCATTCCCCAGCTCCCACATGTCATGTCACGATATTTTAATACCTTTGTTTGTAATACTATGAGTACTTTAAGTTATGTTGAAAAGAAGAACACATCTGATTGCGACACAGCATGTCAGAGTGCCTTGTCTACAATAAAAATTAACATTTTATATGCTTGTTAAAAATATATGACCAGTCACAGTAGCTGAACAGTCTAAGGCATTCACTGTCTTAACTCGCTTGGAAGCCTGGATCATGAGTTCCAATTCCACACAAGGCATGGATGTTTGGTATGTGTATGTGTTTATTCTGTGTTTATGTTGTCCTGCATTTAGGTAGATGCCTTGCGACAAGCTGATCCCTCGTCCAAGGAGTCCTATCATCTGTAAAATGATCAAAATGTCCAAAATGAAAAAAACAACCTGAACACCGTAACGGTATAAGAGGAACGGATTAAGTAAGTAAGTATAATTATTTAAATTGATTAAAATTAGACTCGTGTTGTAAGATCGCCTTAATATAACTTTAGTACTGGCTTTGTGTTTTCTTATGTTCTACATAAACTTCTATGAAGCTATGTACGTTTGAAGTTCTAACAGCGGTGGCTAAGAAGAGCTCTGTTTTCTTGTGTATCATACCATGTAGTCTGATGAAGATAACTGGTGTTTTGGGAGAACATGTTACCTCCATTTGTGGAGCTGAAGAGTAAACCAAGTAAGAAAGCAACAGGATGTAAGCAGGGTTTTCCGCAAGCAAATTACACAGCTTGCTGCCTGCTTCATGGTGGCTTCTTGCTTGGCTTACTCTTCAGCCCTGAAGATGGAGGGGACATGTTCCTCCAAAACGTCTGTTGACTTTCACTAGACCATATGGCAATATGTTCCATGAAGCTAGTCGTATTGCACAAAATGAAGTGCTGGGAAATTTTCTGTGGGAAGGCAGAAGGCTGAATAATATGTAAGCAAATATACATATGTAAGTCAGTAAGTAAGTTACAAATGGATATAGAACTTAAACAAATAAGAGTACTGATTTGAAAAAGGCTTTTATTTCTCAACATAATCTCCCTATGCACTGAGGCACTTGTCCCATTGTTTCACAAGCCCCTGAAGACCAACAGAATAAAATTCTTTGGTCTGCTGTTGGAACCAGGTGGTCACTTCCATTTCTACAGCTTCATTGTTAGGAAAATGTTCAGCCGAATGATGATGTTTAAGAAGGCCGAACAAATGGAAGTCACTTGGAGCAAGGTCGGAGCTATACAGAGGAAGCTTGACAACTTCCCACTTGAAATTTTGCAGTGTCTCATTTGTCTTTGGCAGTATGGGGACACATGTTGTCATGCAAGAGCAACACACCTTTGGTGAGCAGTCCTGGTCGCTTCCGATGAATGGCCTTAAGAAGTTTCCTGAGGATGTTACAGTAGGAGTCGGCATTTACGCTTTGTCCTTGAGGCGGGAATGCGGTGAGCAGTATGCCTTCGTGATCCCAGAAGACTGTGAGCATCACTTTCCTGGAGGATGGTGTAACCTTAAACTTTTTCTTTGGCAGGCGACGCAGTATGTTTCCACTGCATTGACGCATGCTTTGTCTCGGGCTGGTAATGGTGAACCCAAGACTCATCACCTGTGACAATTCAGGTAGCGATTGAGATGCTGTAATGCCAGATCCATTCTTTGCATTTTGTGTTGTGGGGTCAACATGCGCGGCACCCATCATACACATACTTTGTCAAAACCTAACATGTCGTACATTATGAGGTAGGCCATGCTGTGTGAGCAATCAATAGCAGTGGCTATAGTGTCTGTAGTTACCCTTCTGTCTGCTTGGATTAAGTCTTCAACCCGTTGCATATTCTCCTCTGTGGCAATCTTCGTGGCTCCAAGCGACTTCCATTTGTTCAGCCCTCTTAAACACTATCTCTCAGCTGAACATTTTCCCGACGATGAAGCTGTAGAAAAGGAAGTCACCACCTGGTTCCAACAGCAGCCCAAGGAATTTTATGCTGCTAGTTTTCAGGGACTTGTGAAACGATGGGACAAGTGCCTTAATGTACAGGGAGATTATGTTGAGAAATAAAAGCATTTTTCAAATCAGTACTCTTATTTAAGTTCTATATCCATTTGTAACTTACTTATTGACTTACCCTCATAGACGGCCGCACCGTAGTTCAAGTGGTTAGTCGCTGGCTTCCCACCACTGTGGCCCAGGTTCGATCCCGGGTCTGGTCAAGTGGGATTTGTGGTGGACAAAATGGCGCTGGGGCAGGTTTTCTCCATGTACTTCAGTTTCCCCTGCCAATCTTCATTCCACCAATTGCTCCACAATCACCCTCACCTATCATCTGGGTCTGGTACAATAGGCCAGAAGTGGCCGCAGTGCAAGGGACTTAGTCCCACCCCACTAGCAATAAAAAAAATAATACCCTCATAGATTATTATTGCAATTGGGCACAGTGCTGTTCACAGTTGAAATTGAAACAACTTACATAAACCATGAACTTCTTCATCACAACGCTTTAAGCAGATTAAGTAGCTACAAAAAATACAGTAGCATAATGCATGTTATTGCAACCTGAGAAACAGCCACGGTGACTATATTGATGTGTAATATTTTGAGCAGCTTACCTCATCAGATAGGTGCAGCCCAATTGTTGTGACGTTGGTACTACTGTTATAAGAAGTCAGTGATGACTGTGATTCCATGCATACACTAGAGTATGATGTATTATCTAATTTTAGTGGTCGGTTCTTCACCATAGATACAATGCCAATATTGACATTCAGTCTGAACATATAATTGACTGCAAAACCTATGAATACCAAGTACCATAGGATGTCCCGCTCCGGCATGCATCCTGTGAATAGTAGACAGTCAAATTCATCCATAAAACTAAACAGCTCTGTGAGAATAGAGCCTGAAATTTCAGCATCACAGATATTAAAATCATCTTCAATTTATTCCATATATATCCCATACCCCTTTCAGTCTTTCTAGTGTATTTCCCAAACAGGCTTCCTTGCTAGAATTCTATATCTATTCCTTACCTCTACCTCAGCTACACAGCAAGATGTCCATTCGCAGCCAGTCATTATACTGACTGCACTATCCCCTGATTCATGTAAAATATGAATATTCACAGTGCTTGAGGTGGAATGAAAATAGAACCGGGATGGTTTTCCCCTTTTAATTCATAGACATAAATTATGAAAATATACCGAGTGATGTATATAGTCTGTGTTCCATCTAAGACCTACGAACATATTACTGTAGTTTAAATGGCATGCGTTAAAATAAAGTCACACATGCATTACGAGTACTTATCTTTAGAATATTTTCCAGATGTTTTCATTGCTTTCTGAAGTCACTGATCTGCTATCTGCGGGGGCTGCACAAGACTGGTAATCTGCATGTCAACGTCCTTTCTTTGGCCATTGTTTTACATAATATTCAGCATCGAAAGCACTAAGAGGGGGTCCCACTGATGAAATAAACATTAAACTAGATGCTGTTTTTAAAAGCATCGAGCTTCGGATGGTTGAAATAATGTTGTTCATGTTGCTGAATGCACGCTCGCACTCTGCAGTTGAAATAATAATAGTATTTGCAGCTGCAATCAACGGCTTTAGTTCATCAGGATACATGTCGTCACCATTCATTATTTTCATGTAATATTCATGGAATCCATGAACTGAAGTTTTCTTACACACCATAAATGACTCAGCAAGTTCCCTAATCTCTTTATCAGCAAAATATGGATCTTGACATTTTACCCACTTAGCCTTATCCATTATTTTCAAGTTGTCCAGTAACTGACTGTATTAGCGGCCTCCGTAGTCTAGAGGTAACGTTCCCACCTCATGACTCGTGGTACACGGGTTCAAAAACCCGGCGGAGGTCGTGGAATTTTTAAGGGCGGAAAAATTCAGGGAACAAGTCCTCCAGGAGGGACTTTTAAGCCGTGGGTCCCGTGTCGTAGATTTACGGCACGTAAAAGAACCTCATGTCTCTAGGAGACCTCTGAGCAAAATTAGGCCAAGTTTCACGCCCAAGTAGTTTCCAATTCCTCCAGTAGATGGGGGAAGTATCAGGTACCACTGCCAGAGGAGGGGGGACCTCTCTGACAGAAAGGGGCTAAAGTATTAGGTACCACTGCCAAGTAGAGGGTAGAAACCTTGCTGGCAGAAAGGGACTAGGAACCCCTGCCAGAGGAGGGACGACCTCGCTGATAGAAAGGGACTAACTATTAGATACCACTGCCAGTAAGAGGTTGGAACCTCGCTGGCAGAAAGGGGCTGATAGTAAGCACCAGTACCGGTAGGGTATGGAGACAGTAGAAATTAAAAGGCGGACGCACAATGGACCAGTAACCGGTCGAAGTGCTTGGGGAAACCCACCCCCTCAATACAGAATACGGAAACTGACTGTATTTGTCCCTGTTTGACCATGTTGTGTTACTACTTCCAGTCGATTCATGTGAAGCTCTAGTGGTGAACATTTGGGTGTTTATATTGTCACTTATGTGGAAAGCAAATGGAAAAACTACCACATTATCACTTTTCCTGGATAGTCTCTTTCCAAAAACAGAAGATCGCATTAAGTGGAGAAACTGTTTTGGAAGAGACTGTGGACCTGTCGCCTGACAGATTACTGATGATGATGATGATTGTCACTTAATTTCTGAAAGAATTGTTGTTCACTAATCTTATGCACTTTTCCATGTTCTAAGCTAACTCTTTTAAATTCTAATTTATCAGCAGCCGTTAGAACTTCAGAATAATATTCACCTCGATTATTTGCCATGGACTGAAAGACGTGATACTTAACAAGAACTAAATGATGTGCTTCAGGCAATGTGATTTTCTTTTCTTGTAATTTTAAAGACAGGTGTTCAAGTTCTCTTAAAGCATCGAACAGAAGTCCCATATTGAGAACAAAGTTTACGTCGCTTAGTTTTCTTTTCAGTCCAGAATATTGAGCTCTCTCCCTTCCCCTGTGTTTTGGGTCTACAGATGCATTGTGAAAATGCTTATAAAGAGCAGGGTAATTATTCCATATGGCTCTCACAGACCACGCACTAGACGATACCCAACGTGTCGTTCCTAACACTCGTCCTATGGTATTTAATCTCATACCCAGTTGTGCAGCAACAGTTTCTAATTCAGATTTGTTCTTTGGAGACATGCTGTAAACGGAATAGAGTTTATCAAAAAACGATTGTATCTGGCACACTGTTGACATTTCCCGTACTCTATCATTCACCGCTATTTCTAATCGATGATTACTACAGTGCCAAACAATCAATTGAGGATACATTTGGAGCAAAAGTTGTGCAACACCTGCATGCCTTCCAAGTAAATTAGAGGCCCCATCACAAGCAAATGAAATCCAATTTCATGATAAAAAGTCACTGTGAAATCCGTTACTCTTGATATTGTTGAGAAAGGCGCCCCTAATCGTTGCAGCTGTAGTATTTTCTAATTCCACTATATCAAAAAAATAACTACTCGCATCCATATAATCAGGCAGTTTGCAACATAAACAGATTACAATAGCTTCTTTTTTACTTCGAGTAGAGGTCTCATCGATCATGAAACCTATCTTAAGATCATTATCAATAATATATTTAACAAGTTTCCTTCTCATTTCATCTGCTATATGATCACAAATATCAGTGCACGCATGATTAGACTGCAAGATACGCCCCATAGCTAAACCATTTAGTTCTTGTAAATCAATCAAAGCTGCTAAATCTGTAATGGGACGGTTCACTTTCGCTATTTGATAAGCTGTCCTAAATATGCGACAAGTTGTAACGTATTGTTTTTCTTGTGTTTTAACATTCAGATATTCAATTGTTTCTTTTTTAGCAAGGCATAAAATGTCACTAGCTTTAACATGAGCTGCCGATAGTTTATGATAAAACAGTTTCTTCCTAATCGACTGTTGTTTCTTCTCTTTTGTTTCACCATATTCCTTGACCCTACCTTCACACCACTCACTAGATAATTTCACACCTTGTGTTTTTGCAGGCCCTAGAGTTCCCACTGATTTACATGTTGTACAGTCTAGCCCTTGTTTACTAATTGTCAACCACTCGTATATTTTCAATTTTTCTAGCCATTGATCTTGTGTCCAGTAATTAGGGAAATAATTAACGTCATTTTCATGCACCTGATTTTGAGTCACGCAGTTATGTATTGCAGCTGTATTCACACATACAGTGGTTTCGTCTTCATTGCAGTGGATGGAACTTACAATTGTTTCACTTTTACTTACAGTTGCACATGGCTCATTACTGCCACTTTCACTTAACTCGGGTTTCTTACTGCGAATTATCCATTTCTCCATTTTCACCGATAAATGAATTTGATGCTGAACTAAAATAACATTTCGTACAGTTTCTGTCATTGAAGCAAGGATCAACCCAAGGACCTCCCCCCCACTAAAATTTCTGGCTAAATTCCCATTGGTTGGAATAGAATAAAATATGTGCGTCCTTACGGCTGGGACGTGTCATCAACAATAGAAACTTTTGTGATTATTTACTGTAAACGTCTGACCCATCGCTTAAATTGGATGGGTTCTCACATTATTCTACAAGTTTATATATGTATTACCGGATGTGAGAATACAGCCTGTACCCCTCATAACTGTATTTGTAGTTTGCCGACTATGCTATTTCAACACCAAATTTATTTCTGTCCAATGAAGTAGGAGGGAGTAGGAAATGTGTACCTCATTTTCTGCCAAGATATTGTGTAGAGGCTCAAATTTGAGATTGGAAATTTGAGTCATTACCTAAGTGTCTGAAGACTTGCGAAAAGTGTGTTACAGCCGTTACAGTAGTATGTCAACACCTGGACAGGCAAATAGGTTAAGAATGTTGATGATCAGCATTTATGCGTAACTGCACTAGCAAGAAGCTTGCCTCACTCGACCACTGAAGGTAATGATGTTATTAATTACGCAGCGATGAGACGCCATAGGCCCTCCCACAACCACCGATAATAACCAATTAGAACATAACTTTGGGGATTGAGGACACTGGGGAGGAGTTAACCACCCTCTGTCGTCAACAGCTGAATTAGCAAATTAAAACTATAAATTACTGAATTTCGAGGGACTTGGGATTCTGATCTAACAGATAATATTGAGTTGTCAGCCGAAGGCTCTCTTCAACATGGGCCTTACAAGCGGAGGCAGTGGGCCTGCATCTGGTACTACAAGTAAGTTTCTTTACTCATATCAGCCATGTTGTTTAATATTATTGTTGATAAGGGTGTTGAGTGATTTCAAGGTGCAAGCTCCAGTGTGCCCGGCGAGCCCTAAGGGGAGGATACTAGAATCATGTAATTGCCTAGGATGTGAGTCAGGCAAGAAGGGTTTTATAGTGTATGTGTCAAGGTTATGGTTAGCGTGTAGTGATAGATATAGTATGCGGGTTTCAATATATATAACTAAGGGTAGATTATGTAAGAGTGAAACATGACGAAGGAGAATGTAATCGTATTTAATGAATAGTAGGGAAACAGGATCCCATGGAACGATTAATACTTGCATACAGTAGAAGAGAGAGAGAGAGACTCCAGTTTTACACCCCCGAAGGGGAGGTTCCTAGCGTAGCTTCAAGTAAATCCACTATGTAGACCCGACTGAAAGTCGGCCTTGTAATAATGTAAATATTGTAATTCATGTAAATATATAGAGCAGGTAGGATCGGATGTACGCAGGGAAATGTGATTCACCCTCCACGACCACCTTCATCGAACCATCCAGAAGATCCTACCACAATCAGAGTTGCAACAGCAGCCGAATGCTTAAGGGGAGGTACTAGGAATGGACAGGGAGAGGCACCTGCCACACAGGCAACAGTTAGTAGCCTTGATACCAACGCCCCTTAAAATGTAATAATAATGTAATATGTCGCTACCTGTAGACTACATGAGGAGTTGTCAAGAGGGAGCTATGACTATATGTCAGGGGGTAGTTCCCACAATAGAGATGACAGACGATAGGTAGAGGCAGGTCAGACCTGACACGCCCGCTCTACGGCAGTAATAAGAGGTGACAGCGCTGAAAGGGCCAGCCAACAGTGAACGCTCGACTACGCGCTACCGGCCCTCGGTACTTACATCACCTTTCTTAGGTCATATAATAGATGGTGGCAGCTTTATGAGAGAAGGAAACCCCGAACAGGAGAATCCTAGCTAAGGGTGAGCTAGGAGTATTGTGTTAACTCCTTACAGCATAAGCTGGGGTGGCAAGGAGGGGTACCTGCACACCCCCGTCGTCACGACGTTACAAGTGGTACCAGCGTCGCGACATTACAAGTGGAGGCGAGGAGGGATACCTCCACGCCCCCCTGCTCCGCGGCGTAACATATTGTGTTTTCATTTTCAATAAAATAACTAAGAATTCAGACGTGACATCAACAATAGAAAAATTTAAAATTTTGTTGTAAACAACTGTTCTGTTGGAGACAGGCCACCTCCGCATTGGGATGGGATGGGATGGGATGCAAGGCAAGAGAAGGACAAACTGTTTCCGACATTGTATAATTTATTATCAGTCTTAAGAATACGAAAATGAATCTTTCCTTAACCTTTAACCGCCGGAGTTTTGAAACGCAGGTAAAGCTAGCTGACCAGGGTTTATTTAAATGCCCGCTGCTTGCAGGGGTTTAAATCCACGTTTCTGCTCTACGTTTAAATGCCAGTTCCACTTAGAGCGCTTGGGCGTTGTATTTGGAATTGCTCTATCTAACACAATTTTTATGATAAATGAATGGAATTAACTAAAAAATTCTTCACACAGCAGTTCTGCAGTATAAATTTTTTCCGCTTCTACACACAACAGTTCTGCAGTATAAAATCTTTCCTGTTTGTAACACTTGGGCTTGTTAGCAGAAACCCCATGCCATAAAAGTGTGCTGGCCATAAGCCTATATATTTCTATCTTCACAAGTTTCTCAGCTTATTCAGGGTATTTGGCGGAAGTTGATACAAAGGAAAATTGCCTGCCCTCTACTTTCTTTGAAAAACCCTTATTGCTGCCAAACAAGCGTCTTCCATTTACTGGATCTGACGATTCTGAACAGTTTCATCCTGCTATCATCCGGCGGTGCGAAACTGTCACATAGGGACTTTCGTCTTACCCTTATGCGCAACATGCTGGAACATGCTGTAATGTGTCGCTCCCAACCACAACGCCCATTAGGTTGACCTCCTGCTTTGTCATCCACAATATTTCGTCTAGAGGAGGCCAATCAACATCACTGGCCGACCTCTTGTGCCATGAGAATGAAATGCCGTGTTTGTTCTGCACGTGGAAAGAGGAAACGTGTTCAGATGAAGTGCGAGAAATGTGATGTGGGACTGTGCATTCTCGGGTGCTTCAAACAGTACCACATGAAAGCAAAATTTAGTTAGACGACGCAGGGGAGTAGCCTGTACAACCATGAAACAGATAACAACAACAAAAAAAGGTATTGTACATTGCATTTACTGCCAAAGAAGTAACAGGATGCTTTTAAGTCATTTAGAAAAGAACCGGGATGCCATCCAGCCCCACCTCAAGCCCTGAATATTCAGCATCTGAAGATTGAGGCAGTATGTCCCTCCTAAATATCACTACCCACCTACCATACAACACAGTGTTGTAACCTAGAAAGTCATGATCCAGTAAAAATCCTAAGATTACTCTGAATATACAGAAAGTATCTCTCTGTGATGCAGGATCTTTCCTGAAAAGTTGATGTGCACTCACTGGTAAAGCAGACCCTTGATTTCATGAAAAATGAAGGGTCATCACAGTGTTCACAAAGCCCCCCCCCCCCCATTTTACCCTATTCTGAGTTTAATCCAGCCAACACTTTCACTTCTTATTTTCCTTCAATTAATTTTAATATTATCATTCTAAGGGACCAAACAGAATAGGTGTTTTCCCTCACCTGAGGACAGAAACGGATCCAGTTTCCAAAACGTTGTGTTTTTCTTAGTTATCTTAAAACCAGGACGATGGATAAAGTCCGAAAACCCAATATTTCTGTGTGTTATGCACCATTGTCAGAATCCTATAGTAACTAAGATCTAAAAGTTTGTGACGATGATTAATTGCTCAAGTAATATGTTTTTGGACATTATCCATCATCTTGTCTATTTTTTTTAAAAAAAAACGTCCTTTTCCTTTTTAAAACACAACATTTCGGAAACTGGTTTCTGTCCCAGTCCTCACGTAAAACCTACTCAGTTGGGTCCAATAGATATAGCTAGCCCCCTATCTGTAGAATAAAACACAAATTCATAGAAAGGCCTAGAACAGTATTAGTATAATTAATTAATTTTTTAATGATCACGCATTTACACTCGTCTTAATAATTATTGATATGACTTTACCTGCCATGTTCCAGTGAGAATGGTGGTAGTCTGGCAAATGAAATAAATTTCAGTTCACATTTTTGAAAGGCTCATGGTGGACTACTTGCAGATAAAACTGGTAGCATGAACTAGGTCTGTTATCAGAATTATGTTCATTATCTTCATTGTTTCAATGTGCATATTTAGAGAGCTTAAAAAAGGAAATAAGTCATAGCTGACAGTTCAGTAAACAAGTTTAATTTTCACACAGAAACATAAGATAAAACTAGCTCAGTTGGTGCTAAACAGCTGGAGAATTGGCATTTGAGTCTTGGCAAGTTAAAAGAGATTTATTTCTTCCTCGTTGTGTCCAGACTGGCTCTGGAGCCCACCCGGCCACATATCTGATGGATACCAAGGGCCCTATTCCTAGTTGTAAACTGCCATGTAACACCATCTAGTGGCAAGGCTAAGCATACATCAAGCAATATGTCTACTACCCCATACTTCTTCATGGTGTAGTGCATAATTAATTAAGCAGAGACAACTTTACCTTTACCTTTTCACATGAACATAAATATAGGCATTGTCATGTTATAGTCACTAGACACAGGGTTTGCATTGGTAATTTGGGTTCACCGAAATATAGGGTTACTATAAAAGAATACAGACTTTCAAAGTTGTATAGAAACCAAAGAATTATTGATATAGCCAAATGCTTGCGTGGGTTCTTTAGTATATGTCTTTAAGTTTGTGTGACTAAGTTAGAAATGTTCTATTTGTGAGCCTGTAGTCACACAATGGATATCAGTACGATAATCCAATTCATTCCAAACACCACATGGCACTGACACGTCAGCCACCAAGAAGTCTGGATCTAATGCCTTGTGAATTTTCCTTGTGGGGATATATCAGAGGCAGAATTGTTCTTCCACTTCCTGTAAGTGTAAACGATCTAAAGCAATGCATCACAAGAGTTGTTGCAAATGTTGACAAGGAGATGTTCCAGTGTGTTTGAAATTAATTGGATTATCATATTGATATCTGTCGTGTGACAAAAGGCTCACAAATAGAACATTTGTAACTTAGTCATACAAAGTTGAAGACATATACTAAAGAACCACGTAAGTATTTTGGCTAGGCCGCACCATAGCTCAAGCGGTTAGACACTGGCTTTCCATCGCGGTGGCCCGGGTTCGATCCCGGGTCTGGTCAAGTGGGATTTGTGGTGAACAAAGTGGCGCTGGGGCAGGTTTTCTCCAAGTACTTCGGTTTCCCTTGCCAATCTTCATTCCACCAATTGCTCCAGAATCACCCTCACCTACCATCACCATTGGTACAATAGGCCAGAAGTGGCCGCAGTACAAGGGATTTAGTCCCACCCCACTAGCAATAAAAAAAAGTATTTTGGCTATATCAATAATATTTCGGCTTCTACAAAACGTTGAAAGTGTCTTTACTTACTCATGGAGCTGAGCCCTTCTGGAGGAGCCGCCAATTCTGCAGCTACTCAAGAATTTCCCAGCATTTTATGGAACCCAGAGGTTCATTACCATGTTCACAAGAGCCCTCCACTGGTCCCTATCCTGAGCCAGATCAATCCAATGAAGACCATCCAATCCTATCTCTCTAAGATCCATTTTAATAGTGTCCACCCACCTACGCCTTGGTCTTCCCAGTGGTCTCTTTCTTTCTGGCTTTCACACCAATATCCTATATGCATTCCTCATCTCCCCCATTCGTGCTACATGCCCTGCCCACCTCATCCTCCTTGACTTGATCATTCTAATTATACTTGGAGAAGAATACAAGTTATGAAGCTCCTCATTATGCAGTTTTCTCCAACCTCCAGTCACTTCATCTCTCTTCAGTCCAAATATTCTCCTCAACACCCTGTTAGGTGGGTCCCTTGTCACCACGGCATGGCACGTCCTCAGGTTGTGGATGGAGGAGACGCCGTCCAGTTTTGGAGGGAAACTGTGAATATATTGAATAAGCAGTCACGGACAGCCAACAAGGGGTGGCCCTCCAGCTTAGGAGGTTGGGCGTGGGGCTAACAACTCCTCACTGTAAAAAATAAGTATGTTACAAAAATGAACACAAAGCCTCAGATCAATTTCTTTTATAGTAACCCTATATTTATAACTCATAACTACTTGTAATTAAAACGCTATCACTAATCTACACACTGTACAATTCACTATAAGTTTTCTCAGGTTGTCTTCATTAACCATTGCTAGGTTATGGTTCAGCTTCTGTGTTCAGCCACTCCTGTCCTTGCTGGCTGGCAACACCCTTGCATCTAACCCATTATAGCAAATCTTTCAGACTCTCAACTGACCAAAAGTTTAAATGAAAATCAAAGTTATGTTATGACCGGCAGTCTGTCAGCCAGTAAGTCAAAGTCATGAGGAGTGCCCTCTCTGATGAGAGGGTGGGTCTGTCATTTACAATTACTGCTGGTCCTCACCAGTGCAGTCATTCACGGGTCAGAGTCCTGCTGGACTCATGGTCAAATTTTATTGTCTCAAATTCGAGACTCCCCCCACCCTGGAGGGGCAAGTCCGCATGTTTATATGCTCTAGGAAAAGGGTGGCCCAGTTGTAACCCCAGGCACTGGGTTCCCATTTCATTGCCTCCTACGACTTACAGGGCTATGGTGGATGTATTTAAACACACCTCCACGTAGGGAACAGTCAAAGTTACTTTACAACTGCGGGCTTACCAACAATCAGTTCTTCTTGGCGCCAAGTCACTCCAGGCTCACAACCAGAAATTATTTCTCTTGCTGGTACTTGTTATATAGCCTCGGCATGAAATGCGTAAAAAACACAGCTTCCAGCAATTCCTCTGTTGTGTGTGGATGTTTGTTACCGCGGAAATGTGATTATTTTGCCGTTGCCTAGTAATCGATGTCTTTCCTGGGTTTGCTGTTCCGGCTCTCATTCCTCATATTGCAATATTAGTGCAAAAGACTATCATGAGTTTGTATTTTCATTTCTCATTCAAAATTTATAATTGTTTCTGTACTTTGTTCATAGATTTTATTTGTTCTTGAAATGACTATCTTATGACTAAGAGATGAAGATGCATATTAACACAGTACTGGTATACTGGGTACTTTAATTTCCGTTTTCTTTGTGGGAGTAATGGATTTCATTCATTCATTTTCATCCAATAACCATTAACGATTTTACATAATAAAGATTTAAAAAAATACAGTAGTATGTGAGATATAAAATTCTTAAAATATAAGGAATTTACTACTATCTTGAGACGTGTCTGTCAGGATGAATATTAAAAAAAATCAAAATTCATAATAATTTTTGTAGGCTGTCACAAAACGTAGTATGAAGATGCTGTTGACCTCAGTGTATCGTATACATTATGGGTCCATTTTTTATTTCATGTATCATTGATGTCAGTGTTTACAAATGGTGTCAGTGTGGACTTGAACGTGTAAAGTGGTGACCTCCCATGATCATGATAATGAAACTTCCAGCTTCATAAAACACATAACTTCTTGACCAGCTGAATGACTGTCAGCTTCTCAACAGAGAGACTACTCCAATAAGTGAATTAATCTATATTTACAGAACTGCATAAACATTGCTATATGATGATTTTACAAACTAATAGTGATTTAAAATATGAAATCCTGTAACATAATTTTTATGCATGTCATCCTGTTGTGTCCGATTCAAAACTGTATATTTGTGACAATCAACAAACGATTCAAGTGAGAGTAATAACAAAGGTTATTTAAATTAATGTTGAACACAATTTGATTCAGCCCTTATTGTATCGTCATCAGGTGTGTCTCAATTTACTTAGTTGCTGCATTTTTATTCAAATATGGATCCATATTTTCTTCATATTTGACTATAATGTTATGTAATTAATGCTTAGTAATAACCTCTGGTGTGTTTATTCTTTGGCTTAAAGCTGTATTGGTATAAAATAAAATGAAATTAAATTAAATTTTAAATTACATGAAAAATTAATTCAAATATTTTTAAAGTAATTAAAATTAAAGTTAAAAGAATTTGTAGTACTACAGCCAGTGTTCATATTAAATTGTCAGTTTTCATAATTATGAATAAATAGTTCGAGTTGGTTGTGAATGCCTGTTTGACCATTCTAATGGCACAATGGCTATTCCTGTCTTGGTTCTTCTTTGGTATTGTGTGATAGTTTTGGGCTAGGTTGTGGTGTTATGGGTCTCTTGCACTGCATGTTTGTACATGTTACTTCTTTATTTATACTGTACTATATTGTGGTATAGGATGAGATGTGTGTTGTCACTTTGTTCTGTAACAATAATATTATTATTAATGATATGTAGTGAAGCTCACATCATATTCTCTAAAGTTGTAGTTTTTCTGTAGGTTTTTCTAGGATTTCTGTTTCTTACTGTGGGCACAACAGGGAATGACCAAGATATTATGAAATTAATTCTGGACTTCTGCCAATATGTTTGGTAGCCATATCTGTCAAAGCATTGTACATGTACTGCATTTAAGTTTCTGATGCAGTTTGAATCCTTATATTCCATTATCTCTTCATTGCATCATAAAACATTGATTTCTTACTTTAAGTGTTATTCCTTCTTCAAAATTTTACTTGATATAGACTGTGATATTGGCAAGGAAGGCAATCATATCTTGAGCAAAAAGAGGCACTTTACTTTGTCAGTTATGAAAGCATGTAAAATTAATTCAAAGCCTTAAATTCTGTTCCTCTTGGCCATTACAAAGTGCTCTGAAATCATGTACAGATAAGAAACGTTCTCCTATAACTAGATCCCTTAATCTTCTCCACATGTTTGTAAGAATTTCTCTGTGTTAAACTTCGATCCTTGTGCTATTCTAATTTTGTACGCCTGTCATGCACAGTACAAGGTTACCCTTAACCTGTTAATAATTATAACTCATAACTATTTTACAGGATGTGTTCCAGTATGTGAGATATTAATTCAGTACTCGTAAGAATAAACATAATCAACTGTATAAAATATTCACTTTAATATATTGTGACATGAGGCCTGTAACAGCTAAAATAAGGGACCAGTGAAACAGCCATTGCTAGCAAACCACTGTGTAAGCA